CATACATACATACACAAACACACACACACACACATACATACATACACACATATATATATACATACATACATACATACACAAACACACACACACACACATACATACATACACACATATATATATACATACATACATACATACACAAACACACACACACACACATACATAATTTTTCATGCAAGTTAAAAATAATTATCAATTATTAGCAATAATTATCCATTATTATCAAAACTCACCAGATATTGTATTACTTATTTTGACAAAGATCTTCTCAAAATCTGCGAAGTCACTCCAGGAGGATTGGAACATATGCATGAAACGATTGATACAGAGATTTTCTATTCTAGAACCCAAAAACAGCATACTGCATGGTTATAGTTGTAACGACTTTCTTCCATGTCTCACACAATTTTTAATTGTTTAAAATATTATTTTGCACTCGTAATTCTTGGAAATCAGAATCTGGTTACAAATCAGAATGTACAGTAGAGCTGCTTTTATACCACACTCAGATGTACAAAAATCCTTGAATATGGTTCTACTCTGCTGCTAGTCATGGTTAATAATTGAAGGAATCCTATATGATTCTAAAGATAATTCCTATCTTTTTTTGGAATTTAGTGTTTTACAACTGTTTTATGTCCCAGGCCAACTCCTAGATAAGATATAATCTGATACCCAGTTTACTAAGTATTCTAGTAGTAGAGATATAAAGCAAAATGTGTTCCTACCCATTTTAGAAAGAAAGCCTGTTTTCCAAAAGGTACATGAAATTTTTTGCAAGCAAAGATATTTTATATTAAAACTTCTATAGTTTTCATAAATGTTACCAGCAAAAAAGAGGTTGAATGAATCCTCTCCAATTTGTAAAGATCATCTAGCATGAATGCTTCATCCTATCTGAAATGATGCAGAGATTATCCTCACAGGTGTGATTTTTACTGGCAAATTTCATCTAATTTTGTCCTAGTCAATTGTTAGAATGTAAAAGTTTCAAAATCTAAATAAACCAGGAAACCTTTGGCTCTTTTCAAGTTTCTATTTAACCTAAATTTTTCATGCTGTTAAGAGACATTTCTGATTTCCAGTGTAAGTCAACAGGAATCATGAATTTTACTTCAGCACTGGAACTTCAGAACGGTGCAATGGCTCAGTGGTTAAGACACTGGGCTTGTTGGCTGGAAAGCCAACAGCCAGGGTTTGAAACCAGAGTGTTGTGTGGCGGGGTAAGCTCCCGTCTTCGCCTAGATATCCTACTCACCTAGCAGTTCAAAATGCAAATGGGAGTAGATATATAGGTACAAACTTCGATAGGGAGGAAACAGCACTCTGTGATGCCATGCTGGCTGCATGATCATGGAAATATCTTTGGACAGCACTGCCTCAATGGCCCTTGAAATTGAGATAAGCGCTGCCCTCTATAGTCAGTTATGATAGCGGAGTAAAATCCACGGAGAATCCTTTCCTTTTCTGGAACTAAACCAAACAGGCAGCCTTGAATTTAAATCAAGGATAGGAGCCACCTAGACTTGGATATAAGATGGACAGCTATATAAAAGCTTAAAATTAATTAAGTACAAAATATTTCCGCAACAAGAATTGTATTCCATTTTGGTACAATCTCAGGGGCAGCAATATGTTGGGTAGAGCTGAAGCAAAGAATAAAGTCAGAAGCAAAAGTATCATAGAATTATAGGACTGGAAGCGAACTTAGAGGTCTTCTAGTCCAACCCTTTGCCCAAGGAAGGAGTCTTTATATTATCCTGGACAATGGTTGTCCAATCTTTTCTTGAAAACCTCCAGAAACCCAAGAAAACATGGGTTTTCTTGAAGACCCAGAATTCCAGGAAGCAAATGATTTCACTGTTTCATATTTCTGTCAGAAAATTCCTTCTTAGTTCTGTCTAATGAGTTTCCACCCATTGCTTCTTGTCCTTCCCTCAGTTGTATGATTTACCCTTCAGATACCTTATCTTCTCTGCACTCTTTCTAGGGGTTCAGAATCTTTTTTGTATTGTGGTGAGTGCAATATTCCTAGTGTTGTCTTACTAGTGTAGTACAGAGAGATGCTATCACTTCTCAAGGTCTTAATATTGTCTGTTGATGCAGTCTAGGACTGCATAATTTCATTGTTTCCCACCTTTTTGCTGTGTGCCCTGTATGTGCTATGTGATTAGCCCGATGATGTTCCTGCTGTGTTGATTTATTTGACTATGCTCCTGTTTGCCTCTCTTATTTATTGTAAATATATTTATTTACATAAAAACACAAGTTCTTGCCAGTGTCTCTGACTCTATTTTGACACTGGTTGTGCAATTCCCTGACATTTTTTAAGGAGCTTCCATTTTTTAAGTGGGGTCCAAAACTGCACAAACACTTGGCGCCGCCTTAAACAATGGAGGCTCCTTTAAGGAAAAAAAAACTTTACAGGATCTGAGAATAGAACCTGTTGCGAAATCAGAGGAGTTTGTCATGAGGCTGGCTTTGTAAGGAACTGATTCTACAGTGGTGGATGCCTCTCTCAGAAACTGAAACAACAGAAAGTAAAGAGGGGGCTTAGGGGAGACCTGATAGCAGTTTCCCAATACCTGAAGGTCTATTACAGGAAAGGGATGGTTACTGTCCATAGCATCTGAGGGCACAATAAGAAGCTATGGGTGAAATCTTGTCAGAAAGAGATCCAACCTGAAAATAAGGAGGAGTTTCCTGACAGTGAGAACAATTAATCAGTGGAACAGCTTGTCTCCCCAAGTTGTGGGTGTTCCATAGCTGGACGTTTTCAAGAAAAGATAGAAGAATCGTTTGTCCAGGATGGTATAAGAACCCTGCCTTGGGCAGGGGGTTGGACTAGAGGATCTCTGAGGTCCCTTCCAGCCTTATGATTCCATGATTCAGTACCAAACTATGGTCTCAACCTAATATGAGGGTCATTATTATACTCACGCTTTGGTGTAATTCAAGATAAAGTCGACTCCCTTTTCACTGTCAAATTGGATGTTGCGAGGCAATTCCTTATGAGACTTGGCATCTATGCTCAAAGGAAAACCTGGCTGCCATTCTGTCCATCTAGTTAAAAATAAGAATTATTGAATAGAAACCTTTGAGTGATTTTCAGGACTAAAATAATAAAGTATCTAAAAATATTAATACATTTCAGATCAAGCAAAGATAAATGGTTATCAGTACTTTTTAAATTGTTTTAAAACCCAACTGAAAGAACTGGGGAGGAAAAATTTGGAAATGACTGGAACTGAGATGGATAACTATAGAAGAATGACTATTGGATTTCTTGGAATGTGTTGGAATGTATTTTGTAATGCAACAACTACAGAAGCGAGGGGTCCTTGGTGCTCTGAGCTTTATTTATTTATTTATTTGTAGGTGTTTCATTATCCTAACTAAGTAACATCATCAGTGCAAGTAAGGAGAGCTGTTTGCTGTCATTTTATATTCTGTGACTTGCCTGTCTATGTGGGTGGAGGTGGTCTTGGAGATTCTTTGGCTTACTAATGGTTCTTTGGCAGTTTCTTGATTGGGGTATTGTTTACTTGATTGTTGGTCTGAAGTTAACCTTGGAATTAATCTAAGATGATCTGGGTCAGTGGTGAAATTCATTTTTTTTTTACTACTGGTTCTGTGGGTGTGGCTTGGTGGGCATGGCAGGGAAAGGATACTGCAAAATCTCCATTCTCACCCCACTCTGGGGCCAGCCAGA